CTGACCAAAATTGGGTAAGTTACGCCAGTTGATCATTTTTCGAAAAAAAGTTCATTTTTTTTGCACACCACTGTATAATTTCTAGTTAATTTAGATTATTTCAACCAGTTAAAGATAATATTACAACTAGTTATAATTGATGATAAATATCAAAATTTTTTAAGTTTTCTAAAATATTTTAGAAACAATTTTATACTTACAGTTTAAGGGATAATATAAACAGTAGTTAATTTTTCAACTTTATATTTTTTTAATACAAATTGCTTTTCTCCAACTATATTTATTTATTTATTTATTTTTAAAAAAAAATTAAGATTAAAATGATATGGTTTTAATATAACCGATCATTACACTAAATACAAGGATATTCTATCTAGACACGTTAATTTCTATACTAAGTATTATAAAATTCATTGTAATTCCCTAATCTTAACCCCTCGCCGAATCGAAACTTTTTAAAATTATTTATTAAACGGTTGTATTTAATTACCTTTATTTAAATAAGAAATAAATGTCTATAAATGATAAAAATAATATTTTTTTTTATTTTTTCCTTCAATTTTTTAACGCGATTTTCACACATTTATTATGATTAATCTAATCTTTCTTAATTTCAGTTTTCTTCTTACGAGGTGATGTGCGAGTTTGTGGTTTTAAATGATGTTCAGGAATCCAACTCTCATCATATTTCAAATCTGATGGTCCTGTTTCACTATTCTCTGTTTTAACAACCGGAGCACGCTTTAAAAGAAAAGAAATATATTTATATTAAATTAAATTAAATCTCAAATATGCAAGATCCATATTATCAACTTATAATTACCTTGGTCTTTTTTGGTTTAACCCCTGCGAAGAAGGCTTGGTAAATCATGTATACGAAACCACCAAAAGCCATAATAAGAATCAACCACATGAAAAGACTATAAAATAACAATATATATATATATATATATTACAATCTATGAAAAAAAACGGCACCAAAACAGGGAAGTAATTAAATAACTTACAGTTGTAAATCAAAGATGGATACGTCTGGATCAACAACCGTGACCGTCCCATTATAAGCAACGCCTCGATATTTATTTAAATTCTAAGTAATTTAAAAAGAAAATCTGATTAATTAAAATTAAATAAAAAAGTGTTCCAAAGTGATTGATTTTGATAGGGCCTACCTCATCAGCAAACAGAATATATAGAATGAGGTCTAATTCTTGAGGAGGAAATTCCGCATAGAAATTATAAACAAGGTCAACATGATCCATGGAAGGAGCAATACTATTGTATTTATAGGCTGTCAACTAAGTGTTTTATATATATGAATATGCAATAAAAAATGTTTTTATTTTTAATCAAATAGTTTAAAAGATATATATAAAAAAGAATAAATTATATCGAAAAAATTGTTTACATTACGAAAGATTTCGGACGGATTATCTTTATTAACCAATGCGCCTCCTATCAGGTTAATGGTATAATTATTTTCTCCTTTGTTATCAAAAGTAACCTTGATAGTGTTCTTTTGTCCATTTACAATGTCTGTGAGATGAAAAAGCAAAGTTGAAATGGATTAATATACTCAAAGAATCAATTATGGTGATGAATACTTACGACTAAAAGGATTATCCGTGAATTCGCCATTGATCTCTACGGTATCGGGTGGAAGTAATAATACAGTTTCCTTGCTGTCATCGCCAAAAACTATTATTTATGAAGAATAATAAATCAATAAAGGTTATTATTGGGTAATCGCGACAAAAAAAACCCATTACTCATAAAAGATTTATTTTAAAACAAAGGAGATACCTAATAATGGAGCGAAAAGTAATACAGTTAATAAAAATAAGTGCAGTATATTTTTTAGAAAAGCCATCTTTGGGAAATATTATTATTGTGGGAAAAGTCAAGTATTTTTTTTTTTTTTTATAATTGTTTTTTGAATAAAGTGTGGCTTCATTTAATTGGTTCGATATAAGTTGACTACAGCATATTATTATCGAAGAAAACAAGACACTAGCCATTTTTTCCTAATCTGTCGGTACACATGATTCCTAAAAATCCCATATATTTTTTTTTTCTTATTCCGCCCAGCATGAATGATTGGCTGCTAAACATCGCCTTAATTTTTGTAAAATTTACTGCTGATCATCACCAAAATATAAAAGCACGTGATCATTTTTAAAAGTAACGCGAAATTTTTAAAAAATGCCGCATTGCCAAATTGTGAACCTTATGCAATACATAATTGTGATAAAAATGTTATCAAAAGTATTATTTAATTAAATTTT